TAAATTAAAGATACCAATTGCTTTGCCTACCAGCTACTGTACCAACCCTTTTGCTCCACAGAAATGCTAGCTGCATTCATTTTTTTTTTTTCATGCATACTTATGGCGCGTTTGGCGTGGCTCCCTCCCGGCTCCACATGCGAAGCAGAGGGAGACACAGCAAACGCCCTCACATGAAGAGAGCTTCTAGCCGGCAAAATATGGAGCCAGAGCCGTTTTTCCGTACGGACATAGAGCCACAAAAACTGGCTTCACTTCTAGGGCTCCGACTTTGGCTACGGAGCGTGTGCAGAGAAGCCACACCAAACATGCTCTCACTACGTTTAGAATTGATAATCATATTTGACCAGAGAAAAGTCAAATATTATAAATTTTAATCAACAATTAGTCAAATTATATGCAACTTTAAAGCATGAAGCTAACATCAATATATTTTGTTGTAAAAAAATCAATATATTTGTGTTCTAACTGCATCTAAGTTGAAATTGATTCTTTTAGCATTGACTATTGTTGGCGCAAAAATCAGCCACACATCATAATGCTATAATGCACAGGTAGTGGATTGTCGAGGCCTAGATGAAAATCTACACACCGGACAATCCACCGCCAGGTGTTGAATACCCTCGGCGTAGTTACACGCAAAGGACAGCCTAGCGCTTGCTCAATTCTATGCACCGGACAGTTCACCTCGTGACACAAACGCACGGTTTGTAGATTGGTGAAATGCACACGGAGGACCGTCGTCCGGTGCTCTTTGCTTTGTCGTGAAGGCCAACGAACACTCACCCGGGAGAGACCCCGTCAGGGCAAGCACACTTCGGGATGCCTAGCATCGGCAGGCTATCTAAGGCGCCTTCAAACGTCGTAAAGATGAAGAAAGAACAACAATCTAGGGTTTGGAGGAGATTAAGAAAATTAGAGTAATAAAGGGTAAAAACAGAAAGATAAAGTTGTATTGATTAATCGATTAGATCCCTTGATCGACCATGGTCCTTTATATTTATAGGGTGGAAGGTCTATCCCAGAGTAAAGTCCAAATACATGACGGAAATCAACTTAAAACAAACATAGAACTACGTCCTTTTTGACCCGACTTGGACGCGCACACACCGGACAGTTTGGTGCACACAGGCATAACGAATTGGACCATTTAGTGTATGCAATCTTAGCGGGTCTGCCCAATTTGATTGTGAACGCATGCCTCTCTATCTTTTTTTTTTTTGCGAAACTTGCATGACCAAAAATAATCTTATCTAAGAACGATGATAATGCAACAATTCATCGGCCATATTCGTTTTAAGGACGATAATTATGTTACAGACGTAATCATTGAACAAACTTAAGTAGAGGTGGAAACAACTTTTTTTGGCTTCTAAGTTCTAAACTTTCTTCATAGTTGTTATCTTCTGCTTAGGTTTTGTTGGAATCACCTCCACTACTTATCCTCAATTTCCTTTGATTTTTTATTTTATTGCGCCCGCCCAGTGCTACTGATTGCCAATCAACTCTTCCAATTTCCATCCCTTGCCCCTTGGTGCCACTCCGGTACTTCAAAGTTTTCACTCGATAGCTAGATCGGCCTCTTGCAAGATTAATGGGGGCGAAGTCTGTACGAGGCAAGTGGTGAAGCGCATACGATCGAGAGTGCAAGGACACATGGTGAAGGCGCCTGAGCCAGGCAGCTCTCCAGGCCGTCGATTTTGAGCGCCTGGCGGCCGGATCGAGCTGCCTGGGCGAGCACCCACAGGCCACGCTGTGAACCAAACAGGCCCGTATGATAGGGAAGATAGCGTGAGGTGAGGTCGGCGAGCGACAAGTGGGCACTATCCACCGACCACCGTGCTAGCGATCCGGCGACGTGCGCCGCGTGGAATCCGACGGCACTGTCGGCAGCAGCGAGTGGACGCGGCTCCCCGCGCAGCCGTCCTGGCCGGGTCCCGCGCTGGGCGGTCGCGCAGCTGCGTCTGGGCTCTGGGCCGAGGCGTGCGGGCCAGTAGGCATCGGCCGCGTAGGTGCGGCTCACGTTGTCTTCTGTACGTATACTGGGCACGGGGCTGCTTGGGCGGTGCCGTACCGGACACCGACCCTTTTTCTTCCCTTTAAAATCTCTCTTGTGATGGGAGTCCTCGATTGCCGCCACACTCGTACAGTCGTACGAGTATAATACTACTACTCTCGTGCAGTCCAGGTGCTAGTTGTGACGGGAAACGCCATCCAGGAGCAGCCGTGGAGGCACATGGACCGCGGAACCCCTAGGCGATTGCGCGGCGCTGCGGTGCGACTCGTTAGCTGTGACTAGACTAGGCATCGCTCCATTTTGTGATGATAAAAAAGCAAGGGGGTGCAATCAAAACCCGGGTGCTGCATGGCTCCAAAACAATCGAGCAGCCTTTTAGCTTTTATTTATCTAAAATAAATAAAATGACCCCCTGTTTCAAAGTATATAGACTTAAATTTGGTTCGGGTGCCATCTAGGTTCTAAATTTTATAATTTTCAAAATATACGCTTAGATGCCTAAAAATTACTACATATGTCACATGAGATTCAAATCATCATAACTTGCATTAATCCCCTTGTGTGGCAGACTGCATGGTCACATAGAACCCAGATGTAGGACCCACATGCCAGATGGTAGATAGGAGATGGGACCGGCATGTGGAGGCATTGCCATGTCATTGTGAGATCGCCGTGCCACATAGGCGATTAGCCTAAATTAGAGTGATTTAAGATCTCATGTGGCACGATTAGTAAGTTCATGAACTTAGATCGCACCCCGAGGCAAATTAGAATATTGTGGTACATTTTAGAATTTTGACCACGAATTAGGCCCCGTTTAGTTCTAAAAAAATTTGGCTTTTGGCTACTGTAGCACTTTCGTTTTTATTTGGTAAAAATTATCCAATTATGGACTATTTAGGCTTAAAAGATTCGTCTCACGATTTCTCAGCTAACTGTGTAATTAGTTTTTTTTCATCTACATTTAGTACTCCATGCATGTGCCGCAAGATTTAATGTGACGGAGAATCTTGAAAATTTTTGGTTTTTGGCTTGGAACTAAACGGGGCCTTACTCAAATCATGTGCATGCTTAGGGCATTTCACATATCTTTTAATATAAATTGATTTTGCAGTAATGATGATATATTATAAGGTTATTTGATGGTCAAATAAGTCTTCTAAAAAGTTTTCTAAATCCTAATATGCCTTATAAAAATAAATACGGGAATATGTAGTAACCATAAACGAGTAATCACACCGACAAGTAGGCAAAAGAGAAGCCCCGTGCCTTATTTTCGTCCACTAATACTAAACTCTTTCGCACAAACTACATCCATGTTTCTTAGTGAAATGGTTACGCAAAACCTCGTTCCAATAAGATCAATTAAATTTAGCTCACCCAAAAATATAATATTCGAAAACAAGGGTGCGCGTTTGGAAGCAAAATTCCAGCCGCATTATGAAAACGGATTGGCGCTTGATATGTTCTAGCATCGCATTGCAGTCTTGGAAACGTATGAAATCTGAAACGTGGTTCCCACTAAAAAGAGGATGATCCCAACTTCGCCCCATATCTCCACAGGACCACACCTTTTAGGCTTTTACTGATCGGGGTATAGAATCTGATACCATGTCGACATGAATGATTTATATACAAAGAAGAAAATGAAACAATTTCATTGTTAAAGATACGTGTCCATCCAGCGATGAAGTCCTACTGCTTCTTTCAGCAAAAGCTGACCAAGAAAATGCTTAACCATATAGAACTTGTTTATTAGCGTTTAAGTGCGCTTGTAAAGTCTTTTTGTACGGTTCATTTGACTGATCACGTATATAGCTTGGCACTAAATTTTCCTGTGATATCCATCATCGCTGAGCCCATAAAAGATAACTGACTAAAACTCACCCATTTTACCTTTTGAAGGCATTTTCTTTTTTTTGCATGACCAATTTCATTGACGAGTACCATAGCCAACTCAATTTCTCTGTGTCTATTCATATATTCTATAATTGGAAATACTCTCTGTGGTCTATGCTGGTGTTTTCTGTTTTTTTGTTCCAAGTGAAAGTTTATATATGATAACTTCATCCTGTCAAAACAGATTTTGTAGAGTGCCTATTGGAATAAATATCAAGACAGAAACAAAGACGCCTCTTATTCTATCGAAATTCAGTAAGGCCGGTTGTATCTACAAAATGCTCAGCAAATGCATATGAACAAGAAATATCTGCTTCAAGCCCCTGTCGCCTTTTTGGTTGCAGATGTGCTGATGTGGAACTTGTTTGCGCTGTATGCAGTGGGTCTACACACCTTTGATGGCAGAACTCCATCACAGTGAAACAACGTTGCAGTTGCATCAGTACTTCAATGTGGATAGCAGCAACAGACAGGTCTAGTCTAGAGTAAACGTGCAATCCTAAATCTGATGTTCCATGGAAAAATTCTTATAAAATGGTATAAGCACTCCCCATCTTGAACCTGAAAATGTGCAATAATCTCAAAAGGCAGAGCATTTCAGATGGACCATTTCATAGTGCTCTAAATCACTAAATGCCAAGCAGTGGAAAGCAAACAGCTCATGCTTAGTGCAATTCAATGGCAAAAACAAAGTGACCTGTGTATCACACCAGCCCTGCCTGCCCAACGGAAATCCATGCCAAGATCCACTTAACCGCAAAGACAGACCATAGAATCCATAATTCCACAAGACATAGGCACATTGTGATAGTAGAATTAGGTCATTCGGTCATTCACCAGCGTTAAAGAGACAGTTGAAAACGGAACAGCTCATAGCTACATCCAGACGACTAGCTCACTGATCAGGAAAGGCCGAAAGAGTACTCCGGTGATAAAAGACATGCCAAGCAAGGATCATGCCAGAAGTCTCGAGCCATCGCAGATGCTTAGAAAGTAACACCAACTACGTCAATGATGAGCCTACTCTGTCACGTCAACGGTAACTTATTACAGCAAACGTACTCCCTTAACCAAAGCAGCCAGATCAATTGCCCCTTAGCTTTTCAAGGTCAGGGAGATCTGCAAACAAACAAACATGTTAGAAAATGAGGCATAGGTGGTTGTCAGTTTGTTTACTACGCACGTGTCAGAATGTTTGGAGTCATGGTGTAAGTCAGTAAAGTAAAGTTTGAGTAGCTTTATTCTTGAACTCTGAAAGTGCCCATCGGCACTTAAATAGAATTTCAAAATTTCATCAACCTATTTCAACAGAGATGGCCTGCCACTGCTACCATGCAGAACAGCAGAAGATTAAAAGAACAGTGGTATGAATAAGAAAACCGGTAGCCTGAAAAGGATCCAAATATCCAATTCAGATGGCAGACTCAAATTAGCTTCTATATTTAGATGAGCAAGGCATGCATTTTAAGCCTAGGGCCTAGTCGGTAGACTTTGTGAGTAGAAAATCATGTTCACTAACCATCTGTCTTAAAGTTAATCAAAAGGGGGCAAGAGAGAGCAAGAGGTGGAAAGTACAAGATGGCCACTCACAAAGCATCCTGTCATCATCATCACTTTCATCTCCTTCATTTGCCTGCAACAATGTGAAGATAGCAATGAGCATCTCGAGGCAGCATACAAGTGCTACATTCAAACCAACAAAAAAATTTGACTATATTTCGTATACCTCATCAAAGCCATCATCTGAATCCCCAGAGACCTCTGAAAGAAATTGCTTGTTAGGTACAAATGGATAGACAAAGAATGCAACATTTGTAACTAATGTACTGATAAAAGCGAAACAAAAAACTAGAAGCTGCAACATACAAGGGTGTGCTCTAGCCACTGAAATAAAGGCATAATATCAGTAATACAGCGGTTATGTAGACAAATATTTAACATTAACTACTACTACTTGAGAAGAATGGAACATTTAAAACTGAATTAGTTTGTGACCACAATGCTCATCTATTGTCATGCAATGCATCAGTGCCTATTGCCTAAGCAAACAGAGAGTATGTACTATGGACCAGATCCTCAGACACAATTAATGTGATAAAATCAGGATCTGCCAGAACTGGATACTAGTAGAGATGTAAAAAAAACAACCCTTTGAATTTGTAATCCAACATAAATTAGTAGCTTGTTAACAAAATTAAACTAGTTTAAAATGAAGGACTCCATGGTCACCCCCACAACAAATCCAAGTTCCATCAAAAGAATACACATTTCATCAATTTAAACTACTCAATTCCAACCTGGCTTTCTTTTTTACGACCCTTTATTCATACTGAATTCAGAATGCCTCTAGTCTAGACCAAAAACAATTGCACATATCTGGGGGTGTATATCATTACTTCATTAGCACATACCGGACTCTTCATCCTCATCACACCATTTGTTCCAGTCAACTTTGATGTATGGATGCTTTTCCTCTGACTTCAGCAAGCGCTTCCACCAACCTTTCTTTTCTTTCTGGATTGAACAGATTATGTTTCGCAGGCCCATCTTTGTCTTTGTTTTACTTCCCTATAGATCAAGCAAAATTATGGTTAGCCCATTAACCATTCAAATAAGAAATTGGTGCTATCTTTGACCAATACTGTCTGGGAAATTATGCATCAGCAAGCAACTCTAAAGATAAGCATCTAATTTCATTACTCATTTGTTGAAACTGAGCCCATATTGAAATCCAGGACAGCAACCAACAATTACCTTTTTTTTAACATCAACCAACAATTACTTACCTCTGGCAGTACTGAACCAAAAAGCTCCAAAGTGAAGCTAAACGGCTCCCCATGGGCAACAGCAGAGAAGGTAAAGAGGCCCTTAGCATCAGTCTTTAACACAACATCTTTCGCATCTGGCAATGAGATAGTCAAGTAAATCTTCTCGGAGCGCTGAGCCCACAAAACCTCAGGTTGGCGGCTGCATTCCAAAGAAATGGCGTAGTCACAATAAATGTATTACACTTTGATTAGAACGGATACGAACACAAATAGCTCAAGTTAGGGCTTCGGGTGCTCAATTTTGCACAGCAGGAAGGAAAGAGATGGGGCAGGCATACCCAGTGTGGTGGGTTCCCGTCGCCGGCAAAGCGCCCGACGAAGACATGGGCAACTGGTCGTAGGGCGGCGGCGGTCGACCTAGTTATCGCGCACGCGAGTTGAAGTGAGAAGAAAAACAGCTTTTTTTTAGAGGAAACGCCTAAAAAACTAGGCAGCTAGTATAAGATATCGGGTGTGAACGCAGGACAAGCAGTTCTTCCGGGGCTGTTTACAACCTGCTTCTTCGCGCCCACTACTGGGCCGATTTTCAGTAGGTGCACGCGCCTGACTAGGCTCGTTCATTAGAGAAAGCGGCCCATTAAACTGGCTCGGTCTTTCTCTGTTTTCCCTTTTTTTTTTTTTTTAGCCATGACACTTGGTTCTTCTTCTTTTTTCTGTTTTTGTTTTTCTTCTGACCTTTTCATTGTCATAACTTGTCACTAATAATTATATATATTTTTTCAGATCCACTAATGAAGAAATTTTCCTTTTCCATCACTACCTAGGGTAAAATTTGTCATTGGTCTATTTAAAATTGTGTTCTTATTGATTTTTATAATCTTTATTTATATCTTAGAGTATCATTGAATCAAAGTGAAATCAAACCAAGTGAACCATTATTTTGGATAGTTAATAGAGATATATGAGTTGAACATGGTTATTGAGGAAAGATTGTTGGATTTCAAACGTGGACAGAGCTAAGATTCACACAGTATGGGAAGATGAGGTGAAGGAATATTCTAAGGCCTTGTTTGAATGCACATATATTCATCTTAATCCACATGTGTTGAAGTGAAATTAAACTAAGTTCCATTCCATTCTACTCCAACACATGTGGATCGGAGTGAATACACATACATCCAAACAAGGCCTAAGTTAGAGCCTTTGAGGGACTAAGAGAAGATGAAGGACAAGCGGTGGCATGTAGTATACAGGTGCCGCACTATCAAGATGAATCCAACGTGTATTGATTTGACATGCATCAAGTGCTCGAGAATACTTAAGTGAGATTTTTTTTTTCGAATTACATAAGTACAGACGTAAACCTCATGTTTTAACTTAGCATGCAGAGTCTGGAAAAACCTGGTGGTCCTGTTTTTCTAGAAATTTTGAGATGTTCTCTGAGCGAGGATCTTTATCGATTTGGATCCGAATTTTTAGGATGCTCTGAATTTCCAAGGCCTAAGAAGGCTTTGTGTCTAACAATTAGTAGGTTTAGAAATCAAGTGACCTGGCTTGTAAAACGAAGTTACCCGGTTTTCACCGACACAGTGTAACAACTAGTTTTTCTTGTGTGGGTATTTATACCTCTCAGTCTCTCTTTAGAGGTTTGCTGGTTCCTAACGTACTTAGAATCATTCTAATCCTTGTGAGAACTCTCCTCAACCCACTCTAAATGAGATTGTGTGTGATTCTTTTTATACCCAAGTGTTTGGTTAAAAGAGAATAATTTGCTGATCAAAAGAGAGGAAGCCAAAATCTTGAGCACATGTGGTTAGTCAATAATTTTGTGAAGCATTTGTTAGTCTTAAAGGTCAAGCCTTCTAGATGGCTGGGCATCATTTGAGCTGAGCTTGTCAAAAGCCATAGGAAAGTTGTCAAAAGCCATAGGAAAGTTTGTGAGGATTCAATCTTGCCTCCAAGAAGGAAAGAGATCAAACCAGTGAAATAGGGAAAATGGTTGGAAGACACTTTCACTGTAGCTTTGACATTCGGTGGTTGCTCATGGTTTCCTCAACCAAGATATATGGTTTAAGTGGGAACTTAAGTAAAACAAATATCGTTTCCTCTGTGTTCTGAATCAGGCAATCCGGTTTTAACTAATAAGTACTCCCTCCATTAAAAAAATACAATTCTGAACTTTGATTAAATTTATATAAAAAAGTACAAACATATTTTATACAAAATAAGTACCATCAGATTAGTTATATTCTATATTTGTATAATAAATTTATTTAGAGACATAAATACTAATACTATTTACTATAAACTTGATAAAACTTGAGCTCCATTGACTAACACAGATACCGTAATTACATTCTTATATGAACTCTTATATGAACGGAGGGAGTAATAACAACTGCTGCCAAGTTTTAATTCTAAATTTTAATCCGGACTCTTTCCTAGAAGGAAGGAGAATATGAGATCTTAATCCTAGTCCGTTTGTATGTGGACTTTTACTAAATTTTTAGGCCTTGACAGGACTATCTATATGTGGAAGATCTATGTTGCAATTACCAATATTCAGAGGAATAAAGAATAGTCCCTCTATCTTATGTATATATGTTCTTCTACTTTCATCTACTATGTTGACTATGAGAGACGGAGATGGAAATGTCCTAACAGCTGGTGACATGTTTTATAACACGTTATCAGCACGACAAGCTCTTCGTCGACATCGCCGTTGAGCCTTCGTCGATCTTCGATGCCGACGCTTGTACCGTCGACGTCCGGTCGCGACTACTTCGATGACCTTGACATCCCAACGTTGTTAGCGGAGCGGATCTGCTACCTCTACCTGCTACTGATCTGCACTGCATCGACATATACCGTCGCCGTCAAGCAGGCGATTCTACGACAATACCAAATGCCCTACGCGGTATATATCTACTAACCACTGCCATACGCGGTATGTGAGGTAGATCAAATTGACATCCTAATATTATGTATGAAAGAATTGCATCTCGCAGATTGCTTTTGTCCCCATTATTGAACGGGGCTAATATGTACATGAAAGTATATACGCATCTAATATGTACATGCACATTATCTGTACTTGAATCATATACGTACATGTTCTGGGGCTTACATGCCACCGAACTCGTAGTGCAAGCTCAAAATCGTTCCGAACTACCAGGAACCCACCCACAGCATAGCAAAGCTGAGGCTACACGATCTGCAATCGGCACTATCTTTTGCGTCGATTTTGTGACTTCTGATTGGATCTGGTATTAATTGCAGATTTTGTTTTACGTACATGCAATATATCATCGATTAAGGCTGCGTCTTGCTCTCTGGCCAAGATCTCGACCATGAAAAAATTTGAATCGAGTTGAATTCGAATTGATCCGCACCCAATTGTCATCCCCACGAGTAGAAACAGGCAAGAAGCCAATATCGTGTTTTAACATGACTCCCAGCCCGCACAACGCGTTCTACCGTTGTCGATCTGCGTCAGCCTCAAACTATTGTTCATTTTTTGACAAGTCTTTCACTTCGCGCATACCGCGTGTGGTCCGCACACCACCACGTGACAGCAGCTTGCGCGCTGTTGCTCTCTCGCTTGGAGTCTCGGGCAGCATGGGTACGAAGCTGCTGCCGCCGTGTCCTCCGTTGCCTGCATGCCATGGAATCAGTCGTGGCTCATATACAATCTGGCCTGAATGCCGCTTACTCGTTTGCCCATACATGGCTTGCTCCTCCCCTTGCAGCGGATCAGCAATTATACATAATTAGCCACCGGTGCCCGCGCTTCGCTACGGGTGACTCTTTTTGAATATATTCTATTTGGATCTTTTTTTTAATGTGAACAGACTTGCCCCCTCCGATTCTATCATTAAAGGCATTTGTATCTCTTATCAAAAAATTATTTATCATTTTTATGTACCTATGACAATTTGTAATGCATTTTGTTTTCTTAGTTTTAATGACCATATATAATTTTTATTTAGCTTAAATTTAGGAGAAATTTTTAGTTCATATTCATATTTAACAAAATATTTTTAAAACTTATTTTCTGTTGTTCCTCAAATTAACGGTCATGCATGACTATGTGATAATCAATTAGAGCCTTGCTTCAACTATATGAACATAATTTATGAATAAGAGGACCCTAGAAGTTCTTATTTATAGTTCACTTATGATCAAGCAACAATGTTAGGATTTACGGTATCCAACATCTCTAGATATTTAACACTACAACAAAAAGGCATGATGTCATGAGTATTAGATTAGGTTAATCAAGCATATCTAATTTGTTGTGTTGTTTTTTTGCTAGTGGCATTTGTCCATGACCCGTAATTGTGCAATTAGCCATATTAATAATCACTAAAAATGCTAGTCGCAATTATGTTTTATTCAAGGAGGCAACTTGCATGTCTTTTATTTGTTGTGAGTGGCCACCTAATCTATTATATTTTTTTGGTACCACGTGCATTTAGTATGGGACGTGAAAATCAAGAGACCGAGCATGTCTACATATACCCATTTTGGTGGTAGTGTACCCAGTGGACATACATCTACTACGCCATACATACATGTACAACATGGCCCCACAATGGATAAGGCCATGCTGTCCTACCTCCCAAGGGTGCCCTGATGCACTTTCCCTTTCTTGTATCCCAATGATCGCTTCCAAACGCAGATTTGTTCTCTCCTACATTATGATCTAAAAGAGATTTTACTTTTTGCTTAACAACTTTGCCCAAACTTACCCCTTTCTAGAAAAATGAATTTTATTCGCCGTTGTTGCAAAATCATGCATTTAACGAATCTACAAAGGTAGCCTCCGTCTAATTCCACAAGCAACTTCTCAAAAGGCTCTAAAACACAACTCAAGTAGCAACTAAGCACTAATTAAGCCCATTAGAAAATGGCCACCCATCTTTGGGGAAGACCTTCGTTATATTGTTGCACTCCTCTAGCATACGACATGCCCATTTCAAATCTCGGCTTACATTCTCCCTTTGGAGGGTGGACAAGTAGCTTGTCTCATAGGTAGCCCTGAAAAATGACATGACATTAAAATAAGAAAGGGTGTCTTTTTTTCAAAAAAAAACCTCGACACTACCAAATAGACCATCGCTTGCTTCGTTTTGGTTGGTTTGGCTTATAAGCCATGGTATTGAAAGTAGTGCTGGTGGTTTGGTGTGGAAAAAAATACTATTCGTTGGTTATGTAAGACATGACTTATAAGCCGAACTTTATTAGCTTGAAGACTAATATTACTCCATTCGCCTCCCACACAAAATTGAGAGCACTTTAATCAAAATGAATGAATGGCGAATGAAGTAGATCATCTACATTGCCATATTGGTCCTTAGTTCAAATCCCAACCCATAAGCCATATAAAGATTTTCAACCACATAAGCAAGAAATTACCTAAAGAAACTATAGCTCACATGGCATTGTTTGGTACGTGGGCACTTAATAAAATTCAACCAATCCATTCTTTTGTTTTCTCCTTTCCCAATCTTCTCTCTCCTCCCTATACCCATTTTCTTCTCCCGATTTAGAAAGATCCAAGTCGACCGGTCCTCTTCTCATCCGTGGCCCGACAGGGAGGAATATGTTGTGGCCACCACCACCAAGGGCACTTGATGTGAGCGGGTGGGTGGTGGGCTGGCCCAGGCGGCATGGCGGCTATGCATCATGAGTGGGTCAACACGCCATAGCAGCTCATGAGGAGGACTTGAAGGAGACGGGTGAGCGGAAGTGGGCGGTGTGGCTTGTGAGGTATGTCACATGAAAATATGGGTGTGATATATGGCGGCAGATGAGGCGGGGGCCTCAATCGATCTTTAGCTCACCCAAGCATGGCGGGCTAGCGGCATGGCTCGCTCACCGAGACATGGCGGGCTAATTGGAAACACGGTGAGGTGGGATGTAGAGCCATCGGGCGCGCTTATGAGGATGCCACAGTGGCACATGAATATGCATCACTAGCCATGGGGGCCAATGGCGATGTGGACCAAGCATGGTTGTAGAAACAAGTAGTTTCTCCCCAACGCGAAAAGCTGCAGCTTTTGGCTTCTTGGTTGTAGGGCGGAGGGCGATGTGGTTCCTCGGAAACCATTTTCTTCTATTTCCACGTTAACTTCGTGTATTTCTTGGTAAAAGGGGCTATAGAGTTGAGGTCGCAATATTTGGGACAAACGTTGCAAGTCAAGATGCTTCATTTCAAAGACAAAGTTAACTCTGTGTTGTTGTTTTGTGGCTCGATGTTATGGTTATGCATGGCTTTGGTACCAAAAGCGTGTGAAGAGAAACATATTCATGTGAAGGAGGCCATGTTTATTTTCATGTCTAAACACAACCTTCCATGGGAAGCAAGGTATTTAGCCAAAGAAGGCAAAGGAGGTGGAGGGTGCAGTGGAACAAAGGCAAGGTCATGTTTTTATAGGCAAGAGGAGAATCTTGGAATTCACTTTAGTATGAGAGAACACGATAAATAAGAACTAGACATGGCCTAAAAAATCAAAGTACAAGAAATTAGTGTGACATGACTTGGTATTGCAAAGACATGGCATTGTGTAGATTCATGAAAATGCATTGGACATAGACAACCTTCCATTTATCTACTGTGTAGTGAAAGTGAAATATCATCCTGGCTTAATGAGACTGTCCTCCCGATTATTTCCACGGTTCTCGCTTCACTTTGAAAGCAACATCGTTTTGTAATGTGACAACATATAGATATATTGGCAGTTATTGTGAGAGTTACCATATGGGTTCAAATCTTATTAGTCCACATTGTTCCATGATGTGCAAATAAATTGATTGTACCAACTAAACTCTCAGGAACAATGATCAATGTTCGAAAATACCAAAGATAATAATTGAACGCTTGATGAGTTTTTCATGCTATAATGCTTCATTTATACAAAGAAAAGATCATAGGAGTGACAAATATAATACTCGCTCCATGTTCCTTACAATATGCATCAATATTATATAAAGACGGAAAATTATAGCATGAAGGGTCAATATCATGAACATGTTTGGCATGCAATGTGTTGCTATCTAGCATGGATGGATGCTCTTCCAGACAAAGACGACAAAAGGGAATCAGACCGGATGCATGCATGAAATGTCACAATCGTACTCTCTTTCTCTCTCATGTATTACTATGTGGTGATGATGACTCTGAATAGCTACACTTCTTTTTACCTGATCATGCATAGGCTCTACTCTGATCATAGAAAATTATTATTTGTGGTGCAATTAACTTCATCATACATATTAACTTATCAACGCCAATCAAGTACATGGCCAGGCTTTCAAATCTTTTTCCATGCTAGAATGTGTCATTTCTAGATAGAGCGCTATTTTTTTTGTCTCTCCTAAGAAGATAAACAATGCTAGAAGCGATAGTATTAGATATCACCACCGATTAATATATAAGCATCTAATTTTGGCATGCATGTTTTAACCACTAGCGTTGATGTTTTCTACAAGAAGAAGCCATAAGGACAAGTTGCAGCAGAAGGGAGGCATGTATGTCATGGTGACCACTGCAGTATGCAAGCATGCATGGACTATCTAAACGACTGTATGAAGAAGAATCTAGGCTGCTGTGCAAGTGTTCGGCAATCCAAGCCACACAAATCATATCTGACGGCGCTGGTAGAACAAACTAACGTGGCCATGCTCAGAGGCCGCAGAGACGGCGCGGCCTCATACTTTTAATAGCCCTGAAGGATTTTGTATGAAAGAAAGCAAAAGGGCATGAACCTGTACTAAATATTATCTAGTACTATCTAATAGATTGATTCTGACAATCATACATCTGTTAGATCAAGCAAATACTAGATTAATTTAGGAACATGTAGTTTCCAGCATGCTAATCTACTATATATTCTTGTCTTTGTCTGGCCTTAAAAATCTTGTAACATGCAGTTTCAACATGCATGACGAATTGTTAAGATTTGATGCTAGCATGCAGCTCATCAACGTGGCTAACCAGCAAGCTTGAGTTACCTGAATCTGGAAGAAAATTATTTTATAGTATTTAATTTATGTACCACATGTTATATTTTTTTATGCTCTTTTGAATGCATTTATTTATATATCACATGTCATGAATCATATACCATGTAAGAATAAATCTTGAATAATTACACTAAACACGGTATAAGGTATATATGAGCTTTCTATAAATCCTCAGACCTTAGAATTATCACCTTTGAGAGGCTCATATTTGTTTTTTCTAGCATAATGAATTTTTGGGATGAATGAATGGTTGATATTAATTCTAAAAATTTGCATATACCATAATCCTGAAAAATGTTAGGATGCTTCTAAGAGTATTTTGTATAACCATCCGCTATCTTTTTGCACTTTGCCACTTGTTTACATGCAGTAAACTTATACACACATGATGATTCCGGTAATAATAATATATGCATACCTTCGTGAAGAAGGAATATCCCTAGATTTGTCCTGAATGACAAAATTATATAGCATGGTCATTTATTAAATTCTAGTAGGATATTCTACTATCAACTGAAGTGTTGTAGACCTTAAGCATTATAGTTCCTTATATTACTCTCAAAGAACAAGTACGTGACCAAGCTAAATCCCGTAGGTCTTATGGGACTTACTGAATGAGAAATTATAGAAGATATCCTATATTATGATTGCATAATGCCAGAAATATTAAAAATTAAATTTTCAAGCTATATGATCATAT